CTTCTTCATTTTTTCAGATCATTTGCCAGTTTATCCAGGTATCTCCAACGTGCTCACCATTCCAAGGTGTGCTATCCAAACCATTTGCTGAGTTTACCATATAGATAGTTGTAAATCCAGCTGCTTGATATTATCAATGGGGAAAAAGGCTGGGGACTTAAATCACATTAGAGACAGAATCTCATTTTTCTGGGCCAGGAGACCAGGACACCTTTGAACAAGAAAGGGCTGTTTCATTAGCAATGTCTTAGTATGTAGGCACTGAATCAAATCACCTTAATGCAAGTACCTGAACATGGCAGGGATAATGATGTGGTTTAGCATCTTGCACCAAGAATATCCAGTTTTACATGAATTAACAATTTATGCTGAGGAGCTTTGGAAAGAAGGGGATGAGGGAGAATTCACACGATCAGGCTCCATAGCTACTATGCCAGAGCCAGCCATGTTGCTTTAACACTGTAAGTACCATTTTTACCAGGCTGGAGGGAAAAATAGAATAAAATTTTTAAAATCAAGATGCTGATTTATGACCTCTTGAAGGTAGGAAGCTGGACATTAAATAAGACAATGCCTTAAGCTTAAAATCTCTCCTCTCTCTTACATGACCCTTTAATCACCTGATCTCTGCATGGCAGAAGTTATATGAGATGTTCTGGTTAAACTAGACAGCAAGAGCTGAAGTTTTATTCAGATTTCCCCCTGCTATTTCTGTAGGGCTCCTACACAGGTCTGTAAGAGCCAAGGAGAGCAAGAGCTGCCAGTTCTGGGTAAAGCTGCCAGCACTCCCTGCCCTGGGAGCTCTCTCCCCCATATGCCACCATCACACAGCACCATAGAATGACTCGCCTCAGCTGGTCAATTAAGAAAGCAAAGTGCCTGCCAGGCAAGAACCTCTGCACATGGGCAGAGAGCACAAGCGTGTTAGAGTAAAATGTTTTGGGAAGCCTTGAGCCTGTCTTCCCAACAGCCTGCCCAGGGCTCAACACCCCTTCCTGGGATTCCAAAGAAAACCTAACAGTGTCGGATTTTCACTGCACAGCACACAGGCCACCCGCGGGGAAGCATGAAAGCAGCAGGCTGATGCTTCCACTGCTCCTCAGAGCTGCACCAGGTAAAGCCATGAAAAGACTGAATTTCAACAAATCAATAAATTAAAGGCCAGGATGCCAAAGAGAAAACTGTGAAAAAGAGGTCCCTGGTGATATTAAATATAAGGATATTACCTCTAGCTCTGGAAACCTCTGGGCCACAGTTTGCAGGGAGGATGTACCAAGGGAAATATTCCTGCCTGTTTCCTGCAGCAGTTGCTGTGAGCTGCAGGGGCCTGGAGGGGCAGCTGTGGGAAGCCATGACCCCAAAAGGCTGCAAAGGAATATACTGAGCTAATTATGAAAGGTAGCAAACTCAAGAGTTCAGCAAATATGAATGGCTGGAGCTGGCCATCACAGCTAGTAGAGGTTGTCTCAACAAAAAAAGCAGCATCTAAATAAATGTGGGGAAAATCACTGCAGGACATACAGTCCTTCAGAAGACAGACCCGAGATCACAGAGACAACCCTACTCAGTGGGACTGGAAAGCAGCCACCATGAGATTGACATGCTGGGCCACCTCACCTTGCAGGAGCCAACACAGGGATAGAACTGCCACTGAACCAGACTGCTTTGTGACAGCCTTCCATCCACATCAGAAAAAGGAAAAAGCATCGTCCTGTTTGCCTGGCAGCGTTAGTCTCATGGAGAGCACTGCACTGTGTTATCCAAACAATGCAGTTGTAGGTCACATGCAGTGCAAGCAATGAAAGTGGAAGCGGAGGTGAGAGAACTTTTTCTTCATAGACCATTTGGCCATCATTAACAGCACCAGCTGTGCCTCGCTGCAGTGCCTATCCAGGCTTAAAATGAAGCAGGACAAATTTCAGTAGAGCAACTGGTGCCAGCAGCCTGGCCAGAGCTGGGGGGCACTTATCCCGCCTATTCAGCAATGGTGGTCTCCTCATCTCCCTGCAAGCCTAGTGCTCAGACCTTCTGCACCCTGGCAGTGACAGCTCTCACCCTTAAGCAGTTCAAATTCCTGCCCAGCAACATCTTTGACAATGAACCACCAATTTAAGTACCAGACACTGGAGTAGGGCTTGTCCTGCTGGTGCCTATTCATCTCACCCAAGCTGGTTATGTGTTGTGACTAGTCAGCTCGTCACCTTTACACCCAATGCATTAACAGTTAATGGCTGGCAGATACATCACTGACAATCCACATGCATTTTAACATTTTGTGACCTAATCAAGAAGAACTCCGGTTGCTCTGAATAGAATAAAGATGTTCAAACAGCGTCCAGGGGAATATCTTCAAAGGGGCGAACATCTTTACATATCTGCACAGCACGTCCAACCAAAGTGACCACTCATCCACGAGCAATGCTCCCCATGAGCATTACATTATGGGGTACCTGACTCCCAGGAGGGTACATCTGCATGGACAGCAGCTCCATGGAGAGGCTTTGGGTGCCCAGTGTGGCTGATGGACACCTCAAGGTTAGATCTGGGGTATTAATCTCTGCTGCTTTGCTCAACTCCAGACTCCCTCTGGTTGAATAAGCTGGACAAGAAAAGGCTTTTCAGTGTCACACTGTACCTGAGCCACTCATGGTCTTCCTGTCCACATGCAGGAGAGCAGTCCTGCTTGTTATCCGTATGGATTGCTTGCTCGAGCCTTACAAAGGGAGGAACATTCAGGGAGAAGACAATGGAGGAGCTGGGCAGGTTTTTCCCAGGTTGAGGGGCAGAGGTAAGAACAACAGATTTGCTCTTGCTGATGGAAGGAACTTATTTGACCTTTACCTGTTATTCATGTTAAAACACTGAAGGAATGTTTGGTCGTTATTAATAACAGACTACAAGGTTGCAAAACCAGGATGTTTGGATGGGTTTCAATAACAGCAAGGGAACTGGTCAGTAAACGTCACCTGCTTTCCAAAGGGACATCTGTCTTCTCAGAAACCCATCACCAGAGCAGATCAAGCAGATCCACAGGCTCATCATTTCCCAATTATCACCCACACCACAAAAAAAAACAGATTCATGTCTTGCCACTGTCACCTACGAAATACACCAAGAGAGCTGTCACTGTGGGGAGAGCTGCACTGAAGTTTAACCCCCACAACCTTGTGATGTGGTAAAACTACCAAAATGACAGCTTTGTCCTCCTGGATGGGTTGAAAAGACATGTCTGCCTGTTCCTGACAGGCAGCAGCACCTTCCTTCCCACTGCAGTGAGTGGGAAATACCAGAGCTCCAAGAGCAACTTCTGAGGTGCTCTACTCGCCCACCTTAGAAAAACCTGAATATTGGCACAACAGCCAAGACAAGATTTTGTACTTTGAGTTCCAATTCCTCAGCCCCATTGCAGCTATTCTAAACCTAATTGGAATAAAAACAAAAACACAGAATCATTTGGCATAACTCAAAAAGCAGTCATTGAAAATAACTACATCAAGACCACCATGTTAAAGTGCATCTTTTCAAGCTTTTCTCAGGAGAGTATCATTTGTTATTGAAAAGGAAAAAAAAATCACTACTTTTGATTTCAGATGCCCTACACAGTGACTGGCCTGGAAACTGGAAAGAAGGTCTGGCAGGAGGGAGGCTAAACAGGGTCTTAGCAAGGAGCAGTTTCATAGGTCAAAGCTTGGAGTGGGGTTTTCAACTTCAAAGTGAGGTGGGAATAGCTAAGCACAGATTTTAGCCCAATATCTACAAACAGCAAAGACACTGACAATTGTACTCCAAACCCCCCACCAGAGAGCAAGTGGCAGGTTAACACTTCATTACAAGCTGGCAACCCCAGCACTCAGCTCCATGTGGACAGGCACAACAGCCAGCAGAAAGCAGAGGCAGCATCTAATATTTCATCAAACAAAACCTCCTGGTCTCCAATTATGCAACAATTAAGTGCCCAGGAGGCTGTGAAATATGACAGTCTATGTGTCAAGAGCAGAAATTCATTTTCTTCTGTAAGCAGCACTTGGGAGTGTTCTCTCCCCATCGCCAGCATTCCCCTTCCACCACACAACTGCTTACATCCAAGCAACAAATTTCAGCGTCTTATAACTGAGTCAGTTGTTAGAATCGAATGCCCACGTTAACAGGGCATTTACTGCTTACATGGCAGCCAGCTCACAGCAGTCTTCACTGTCTTTCCTAGGGGCAGTGATCCCATGTGTCTGTAAGCTCCTGCAGAAATCAGGTAAATCCCTTTGAAATCTGCCAGGGAAAAAACAAACTCTCCCCTGTGCTCCTTTGCTCCCACATGTCCCTCTGCAAACACACACAGTTTTAATACATATTTCATTTTCTTCTTGTACAACAGGGACTAGCTAGAGACTAGCTCTTGGGATTTTAGCTAGGTGCTAAAATTAAATTGCTTTTCAGGATGGAGAGAGATCCTGGGATTGGACCCATTGCCTCTTTTTCCCATAACTGTTACCTCACAGAAAAGCAGCTCCTTTCAGGATCCCAAGTCATATAACCTCCACATTACTCCCCACCTAAGGGAAAGACTAGACTCAGCAAAGTTATTCAGCTTTCTACAGGCACATACTGTGAAAACACAGATCAATACATGTTGCTCCTCAATGCATGTATCCAGTCCTTCAGGAGCCAAACTACTAATATTCACAGATTAGGTTCATTTTGCAAAGCTATTCCAAGAGGTGGATTGTCACTTATCACTTAGTTGTGATTTATTTTTATGCCCTTTTTTTGTGAAATTGCCCCAAATCTGGTGAATCTCACTGTGCTGACTTGAACACTAGTATCACATCTGCTCTAAGAATATCTCAGACAAAGAAATAATAAATGTTTTCTGATGCTTAGACCCTACCAACATCAGGCCCAGTAAGCTGAAAGACATTTAAATAGTTAGAGGTCACTATCAGGAAAAACAGTAATAGTGACAAAAGTTCAATCAAGAAATATGAAATAGGAATATACAGACTTACCATTTTTGTCAGCTCTTCTGAAAATCTAGAATTGAAAGAGAGAGAGAAACACTTTTATTACATTGTTTGAGAGGGTGAAGGCTTTAGCACTGGGACCATGTTCAATCCCACACACAGGGCAGGACAACACACTCCAGCCCCTTCAGCCAATTCAGTTGTTTTACTGAGCTCACCCTTCCCAGGTTACAGGCTATCACCCCCAGACCCACATGATGGACAGCCACTCCTGGAGTAGAGTATTGACATGGTTGCCTTTGGAATAACTGGTAGAAAATGGGTTAGCTAGCAAAATAAACACAAAATACTTCCAGCAGTTCCACCATCTCCTACCTCTCTTGCAGAAGAAAGACAAAAACATGGACCCAGCACATGAAAAATACCCATTTAAAAAAATGTAACAGCTGTGCAGCATGCCCAGCCAATTTCTCTAGCATCAATAATATCTCTTAAAGCAGGTTTCACAGTTCTGCACTTCTAAAACTATTTACAATATTCTTTTTAAAAAAAGCACATTTCCTCTGTGGGAAAAAGATTGTATTTGGACTTAAAACTACAGTGTGGAGGAGCAGCCCACAGAGAGGAATCACATAGCCCTTTCAGAAGAAAAAAGAATTGCAGTAATGTGTAGTATGGCTGAATTTGTGAGGGAAAAACAGCAGAAACAACTGCTATGTCTTTGACTAGTCTCATTTTAGAAATAGACACCTGACAATGCAATTAATAGCAAAAGGCTTGTGCAAAGGTTGCAATCTTATAGGTTCCTGCAAAAAATAGCTGCTGGCACAGGTTTGGCCATAAATTACAAAAAAATTAACATGCTCAAACTGGGCAGAAAAGGAAAACGTTGTCATCATTTCTTCAGACCTGACCTTATTAATTTGATCAAAAACAGAGATTTTGACTGTACAAAGACATTTCCCTGCAGAGGGAAAAAAAGCACCATCAGGACGGATCACAGTCAGCCCTAAAATGGAATCTCTTCTTTTCTGGGTCATAAAATCATTTTAAAAAGAGAAAAACATCAGGAGAGAAACTGCTGCACAAAAAAGGAATCCCAAGAGACAAACTGAATTGCAGAATATTCTATTTAAGGGAACATACCTTAGTTAAGGAAGAATAATCATTCTTTTGCCCAAAGTTCCTCCTTAGCTGCACAGGGAAAAGTCAAAGGTGGACTTTCTGGAGTACTTCAGCAGAGGAAAACACCTTCTGGTGAAGCCAGATCTAAATGGTGGGAGCCACCAAGTCCCAGCTTCAAGAGAGGGTCATAACCCTACAAGGATTACAGCTTATGACCTCCCCAAAACTCCTTACTTCTTGGACTGACCTTTATTTTTTTTAGATTAATTAGAAGCTTTGAGGGAAAATCCTACCATCCTTATGGACTTCACTGAGGTTAAATATGGGGTTTGAAGAGCCAGACAGTCACAGCTTGTTTATGGGAAGAAAGAATAAAGCCAGGCAAGACAACCAGGAACCCCAGCAGGCCCCCAGGCTTTGGCACACGTCAGTCAGCCATGCACAACACGCACTGCCCAGAGTACGAAATACTTGTTTTTTTCTGGCTTAGACACTCCAACTCCTCACACTTGCACTAGCATCTCCAGATGAGGCACTTTTCTTTCTAGATGCTGTTTATTTCTGGATTTGTTTCATCACCACATACTCGCATTACTATTCCCACTGCTTTGAAATAAAGACATTACATCAAGTCCAATGCAGAAGCAGCAAAGTCTATTGTAAGAAGAATGGGAAGGCAAAAACAATAAGTAAAACATAGCTTAAAGTGGGAAAAATATGCAGTGCTCTGCTCTGTGGAGCCACCAACCTTGCCATGAACAGTAGAAGCAAGGGGAAAAAAAAAAAAAAAAGAAAAAAGATAAAAATGTTCATCTTCACTAAGAGAACCTTTCAGGGCTTTAGATCCCCCAGATACTCCTAGAAAGTATGATTATTTGTAAACAAGCACATTGACAGAAGATCACATCAGCTGTGTTACCTACTAAGGTTTATTCTACAGGACTAAGCTGTTTAGTTTTTATTGCTAATGAGCAAGTTTTATTCTTCCAGCTTAACTGAACCACCTAAAATCTGCACACACACAAAAATATTCAAAACAGGACACCTGGAGGGAAAGCAGTTTAAGATAAAGACGTCTGTCATCACAGGCAGGCAGTACATGAAGGTATGAGCACTGGAATGAGCATCAGGAGGCTGATAAAGACAGAATATACTCTGTGATAGCTTGGTAATGCTGCCAGAAACACTGCTTCTGTGAAGACCCAGGATTCATGCTCTGTTTCAGCAAACAAAGAGTGCCCTCCCACACACACCTGAAGATGCTCTCTGTTCCTGTCTTGAATTAGTTGTTCCACTGTGGGAAGGGTGTGATGTGCTTTCAGTAAGGGAAAGATCTGGTGATGGAAGGGAAAATGCAGCCCCTCATGCCTCTCCTATGGCCCAGCAAGGCAAGGCCCCGATGGCAGCTCAGTGCCAGGTTCCAAGGGTGTTCAGGGGAAGGAATGCTCTAACCAGTTCCAGGAAGAAGGAAATATAAGCAGGTATGCTGTGTCATCTCCAACATATACACTGCAAAGCCAGTCATCCCTGCAGTCACTCTCTGCAGGCCTGCAGTAACTCCATCACTGCTATTCTCACTCAGCAGTGAAGTTGCTTAGACTTAGCCAAGGCAGCAGCTCTGGAGGTCAGCAAGAGTGGAGGCTATGAAATATTGGTAGAGAAACATCCTGTCCTGCTACACCCTTGGCAGCAATTGGCTTCACATGCCTCCACACCAGACAAGGACCATCCCCAACATGGAACAGGAGCTGGCAGCACCTCACAGCCTGACCAGGGATGCTCTTTCCACCCCATCACCCACAGTTCTCCAAACATCAGGGCTTTCAGATGGTAAATGAGAAATAATCCAGTCCAAAAAGTACTAGAGGAACCATCTCCCGCATGAGCTACATTCTAAACCTATTAAGCAAGGCTACTGAAGCACAAGCTAAATTGCATGGTGAGCCCACAGGATGCCCACAATATGGGCCAGATTAACTTATTTTATAGGCTTTACACAGAAATGTAGTTTGCTCTCTGCAGCATACTTATTCCATTTACTTTGTTTAGATGACTATAAACTGTTTTATTTAAAGTGAGGAACATCTGTCAAGATTTCCAGTGACTTTTAAAATACACATTTTTGCTGTACTCTCAAAGGGCTACTACAGATGTTGGCTGGCAAAAGTAAGCAATTCAAAACACTAGTGGTTAATAATGAACTTAAAAAAAAACCAATGCTTTCAATTTAAACATTCAGTTCTGCCTTTTCAAAGCTCCTGGATGAGAATGTGCAACACTAGAGGCTGCTTAATGGAGGTTTTCTTAGGAATTTTATTAAATTCACAGAAGCACTCCACTAACCAGCCCAAGATTTATTACAGGCTTTGTAGAGTTTATCGTCCCTTCAGCAGGTTAACATGATGTTGATTTAAAATAGACTGCAGCTGAGCTAGAATTTTGTTTTCCATTATAATCTTGGTGCAGAATTGAGGACAAACAAAATCTTAAGTCTCCTGAGTGAGGAAAGCCTAATGGATGAGAAAGCATCCAGATACCAGATATACCTAAAACCCCAATTAGTCTGTTCACGATGTCCCTACATGCCTGTTCTTCCTTTCTGTTCCTCTCCCTACAAGCCTCAACACCTCAGGTGGAGCTGAGACAAGGTTTTGTATCAGGTATAGCCTTTACCTCTCTAGCTCGAGGTACTGGTAGGAATATATCCTACAGCCTCTCTATGTTGCTCTTTCAAGTAATAATCCAAGAATGTAATGACCTGAATCTTTTCCACTTTGGACAACATCTTTTGGCATCATCAGGCTAGCGAGCTTTGCCCATGCAAGGGGAAAGTTTTGATTTGGGTGTTTCAGAAATATGCCATTGGGGTGCAAATATTGTTCTTTGCGGAGCAGCTTCCCTGCCAAAGCAAGGCTGCTACAGACCTCCAGGTCTCCTGGCTCTTTCTGCCGCTCCAAGAGAAGGGCAGTTAACACCATGTCTTAGCCTCTCTTTACCTTGTACCTTTCTCCTTAGACTTTACCTGGCTGTTCTAAATAAAAGTTGCGTGAGACAGGCAAGAGTTGCATTTGCTGTTACCACCTACACAGCACTAGAAGTTACTTTTCCATTAACATTGTCCCTGGATCCAGCTCCATTTCAAGCATCCACTTACAAAGACCTGAAGAGCAGAAAAGAAAGGCTGGACTCTTCTGTGCCATTATGTACCTTGCCATGAGCAATCCCTGAATGCACAACGCACAGCCCTGCTCTGCCCCTGTTTTGCAGCCATGCCCTGCTGGCATGGCTCAAGAGGATGATTTCAAACCATGGATTTCACATAAGAGTAATGAAGGAGGAGGAAGATAGCCTTCCCTATTCACTTGGAGAAGTGAGAAGGTAAATAAGGATACAAGAAGAGGAGGGAATCAACATTAAAAACAATCCAAAAAAGCAGAAAAACAGCCACCAACCAACACACAAAAAAACACAGAATAATAAACATCAAAGCAGAAAAGAAGGAATTTTGTTGCTGCAGTAGCTTTGCAGCACTGGAAATTGTGTTATTCACAAAGCAGTTGGAAAACTCTGCCAATTCTTGGGTCTACATTTGGAAATGCACTCTTGGCACAAGCCAAATTCTCTGTATCTTCTATCCAAACACCTCAGTCAGTCCCATGGGGTTGAAGAAGTGTAAATCAGATCTGGCAGGTAAGCAGGTATGCAACAGCAGCCATTAGCAAGAGAGATGGATTTGAAATGATCTTTCTGACCCTATTGAAGAAGGAAACAGGCAGATAAGGGTCAAAATTAGTTTTCAGGAAAAGACAGTGCAGATCAAACAAAAAGCTTCATCTGACCTGAAATGAATAGCACTGCTTTCTTCAGGAACATTTAAAATAACGCCAAAAAGCAATGCATTTAGTCACCATCAGCAAAGCTAGAGAGGAGGCAGGGATGCCAGTACCCCTTGGAGTACACAGTCCTGCCACAGGGATGCTCACTCATATCCAAGGCTGACCCTTATATTTTAGATGACAAGTAGGAGATGAGTGCTTCCAACAGGCTCTCCCTGGTGTAAACCAGATGGGGCATCTTTGCCTGCAACCACTGTGACTGACGAGGTCTTAACATGCACTGGAGTTCACACTCCTAACAACAATGTAGATTTTTGATAGTAACATGAAGGCAGGAAAAGATGAACAAGTACATAAGTCAGCACTGAAGTACTCCCACTGAGACAGAGCAATGCCTATCCAGACATTTCTCAGTCCTTAGGAACCATCCACTTCAGTTCTGTACTGCATGTGGACTCACTCGTACTCAGCAAACATGATCTGATATAGGCTTACCCACACACCCACTATACTGTCCTTTCATAAGTCTTGTGATGTGTGAGGATTTGTTCTGGACTAGAAATGCCACTATCACCACACATGGATTTGAGCAGCAACGTGACAGTTTCAGCTTCCTTTTAATAAAGAGGTTTTGTCCTTGTGGGTTTAGAGCAAAGCTCAGGGCATCTTCAAGCAGTCCAGAAGGCAGAAAGAGAACATAGCGTTACTACTCACATATTTAGCTATGGATAGACAGTAGTTATCTACAGCAGATTACATATGCTGCCAAGCCTGAGCTTTTGGCTCTGGCAGATGGAGTAGCTGTGCGCAATCCAGACCTCAGGAGCAAACACACAGAGGCAGACACCTGAGGGTGAGCACAGGATGGGTACAGACCATTTGCTTAACCCCTTAGGCTAGTTTGCCTAACATTAAATGCAAAGTGATGTTTTCCAGGTTCCTAGATTGACACATCACCTCCACTTGATCTGCTACCACCACTGAAAAGCATCAGTCACCCCTCAGTTTTAGTCATTGCATATTTTAGGCAATGCATAGGACTTAAATATCTTCTTCATTAGTTTGCTACCAGGGTTTAGTTAATCTACACTTTTAGCTTTTCCTTTTTTTTTTGCTGAACTCATAAACATTATTCAACCTTTTAAAATCTTTTACCTGAAAAGACACAGGCAAAATGAAAGAAAAATACTGAAACCAGCCCAAAGCTAAGATTCACCCTCCAACAGGGTTGCCAGGTTGATGACAAAAGGTATATAGCTCCCTTGTTGTATTTTGTTCTTCCCCCACCCTCAGTTTTGCCCCACACCAACACAGTTCTGTTTCTTTGGCAGAAAGGGCACAGGAAACTTTGTACTGACCCACCAGCCACCCTCACAATACGGAGGACTCAGAACAAGCACACTGAGGATGGCTGAGTCAAAAGAAAGCCGGAACAGAAAAGGACGAAAAAGGGACTAAAGTACCATTAGCGTCAGAGCCATCTACTACATAGTTTAATACCAAGCTTAACCCTCCTTTCCCAGCCCCCAGTGAACTGTCTATATAGCACAACGGCTCATGCAAATGTGGTAGTTAAATATAAAATTTCACAGGTCTTTCATTTCATCCCCACCTACCGAGTCGCACTGCTGCATGGCTGGGACTCACTGCTTCCCCTGGACATCCACGTAATGCAGGAACGTGAATGAGTTAATTGGAAAACATGTTCTCATCTCTTGAGGATTCAGTGGGATGCCTTTTTACATTCCTGATAATGAATAAAAATTAACCCAAATGTGTGTTCCTCTGCTTAAATGCTTCATATGGGGTGGGAGGATGGGGGGGGGGGGAAGGGGGTGTCTCGCAGTGCACTTGAAGAGCCTGTTACAGTGAAGCCACAACTTCAGTTGATGTTCTTATTGTAACTGGAGAAAAGGAGAGAAGGAAATTCTAAGGGAAGAGGAAAAAAATATCCCAAACCCTCAGGCTTTACATTTCCAGCATCCATTTCTACTTTCAGCAGGTGAGAAAGGGCTTCCAGCCCCATTGTGAAAGGGAAAATGGATCAGGACTTGCATGCCCAGCTCCATTGTATTTCCCACTGGTTAAGGCATTCTGAAAGTTCATGGTTCATTTTCTCAGCTCAAACCTCAAAGTGGTGAAAAAAAATAATTCATTTAATGATTGTAAGGTAAGATACCATTTAGTGGAAAAGCAGCCTTAACTCAGGAACCTGTTGTATAAATTTAACGTTGCTTCCCAATTGCATTCATGCTCTGAAGCCCATATTCCGTATTGTTGTAAAATTTCAGTAATTTCAGGGCAGGTAAAAGAAGAAGAAAAAGACCCCCAAATCTAACAGCAAACCCAAACAAGTTATCTTAAAAGACATAGAGGTATTAGTTGCATTTGTCCTTTCCATTGCCCCATGAAACAGCATTTCCTACAGCCTGCAGCTGCCTACCTGCCAGCCCATTTCACTGGGCAGGACCATCCTTAAGAGCTCTGATCTCCAAGCTGCTTTTGAGAGCTCAATAGACACAGTCGTGTTGGTTCATTCAGGAACCAAAATGCCTATGAGACCGGGGTGCCCAGAGATGTAGTGAGTTTTGGGTTCACTACACCAGCCCTCACCAATGCTTACAGGGGATGTGGTAGAAGATTAGCAAATTATTTAGAAAACTCTTAAGTCTTGCCTGGAAATGCTATTACTGCCTGACTATGAGGGGGCTGGAGGAGATCCTTTACTACAGCCAGTGCCTCAGTAGTTTTTATTTTTGCATTGACTACATTTTTATTTTTAAAGCTAGGAGATAGCAAAGGTGAGGATCTATGTGTTTAATTACTAAACGCTGCAGAAAGACTGTGTAATTACACCGTTTGCACTCCGATTGATTCTACCCCATTTTCCCAATTAATTTACGTGCAAACAGCCTCGTTAGCTTCCTCATCAGGAAGTCTATAAATACTGCACCCGAGGCACTAAGCACGCCTCTGCCTGCCCCCCAAACCTCGGCAACCGACCCCAGGGGTCCCACGCAGTCCCCCGCATCCAGGACCATGCTGCCCAGCTCCTGCTGCACAGACCCTCACTGCTACAGCCCTTCTGGGACTGATGCCCAGGACCTGAAGTGGATGCTGGACCCACGTGCACCCTTATACCCAGCTAACTTGGGACAACCCATGGTGCAAGCCTGGGGAGTCTGCAGGACCTGGAGTCCTGCATCCCTATCTAGTCAAGCTAATACCAGGATTAAGGACCCACAGTTCATCCCCGTCTCAGCTGATCCATGGGATGCAGGACCTGGGGTGCACCCCATACCCAGCTGGTCCAAAGGGTGCAGGATCCTGGCAAGGAGATAATGAACACAGGTCGCATTCCCATGCTCAGCCAGTCAAAACAAAATGCAGGACCTGGGCTGCACCCTTATGCCCAGCCACTTTGGGGGTGCAGGACACAGAAAAGGGGCTACAGGATCCTAGACGGCATCCCCATTCCCAGCCGGTCCGGGAGATGCATGACCAGGCTGCATCTTATTCCCAGCTGTCGACTGTGTGCAGGGCAAAGGAGTGCAGCACCCAGACTGCACCTCATGTGCTCAGGCAGTACAGGGGGTGCAGGATCCAGACAAGTGGATCTTGCACCCACCATGCCCAGCCAGCTAGGGGCACACGATCTGGAAAGGGGCTGCTGTATCTGCGCATCCCTACACCCAGCCAGCCCAGGAGATAGAGGACCTGGGCTGCACCCCATCCCCAACTGGCGGGGGCTGCAGGATCCGAGGAATAACCCTGATGCCAAGCCGATCGGGGGGTGCAGGATCCTGCACCGAGGGTGCAGGAGCAGCGGTGCACCCCAAGTGCCCAGGCAGCGCGTGAAGGAGCAAGGCAAGCAATTACAGGAGCCGGGGTACAGCCTCTTTCCGGTCTGGGAGATGGCTGGACCCGAACGCAGCCCGGGATGCAGAACCCAGGAAATAATACCTATCCCGAGCGGGAGGCGGGACCTGGGCAGGGGGATGTGGGACCCGGGCTGCACACCTATGCCGAGCCGGCCGGGAGTTGCAGGACCCGGGGTGCACCTCGTCCCCAGCCGGGCGGGGATGTGCAGGACACGGGGTAGAACCCCACTCCCGAGCAGGGGCGGGACGCGGGGTGCGGAACGCGGGTGGCACTCACATCGAGGATGACGGAGGTGCCCTTCCTCTGCGCGGCGGCGGCTCCCGAGGTGAGCAGCTCCCGCTCCGCGACGGTCTTGTCGCTCATCCTGGCTACCACCCAGCGCAGGATCCCGTCCAGCCCGCGAAGCGCTGGCGGAGGCTTGCGCAACAGCCTCTGCACGCTGGCCCGGCAGTACCGCGCTGCCTGCTCGCACATTGCTCAGCCCGGCCTCATGCCGGAGACGGGGACTCCCTCCCACCCACCCCCCCGCCTTTCTCCCCCTCTTCCTCCTCCCCCACCGCCGGGCATCGGGCAGGGGCGGGCCCGAAGAGCAAGGAGGGAATTTTGGGGTGGGGGTAGGTCACCCCGGAGTAGTCCCGGTGCGTGCCCGTTCTCCAAAGCATGCCTGTAGGCATTTTCTATCCAAAAAGGAGTATTCCTATTGTATGCCCTTTCCCCTCTGCAGCCTCCTTTACCCCTACAGCAGATTTTAGCAGCTCTTTGTAAAGTGGAGCGGAGTACAGATTTCTTGCTGATAAATCAAACTTGACCCTGGCCCTTTAATCCAACTCCAGAAAGTCTCTGCACAACGAATAGCCAGCGATTCCAGCTGGGGTGTTGCAGCATTCATGGCTACAGAGCTAACCACAGTGCTCAGCTGGACAAAAACTTGTAACCCTGTAATTCTATATTATGAGGATGTTCCTTTGGGATACTCCCCTGATCACATACACAGGCGAAGACCTAGACTTGCAGTAGGGGCAATGAGTCTTTTGGCCAAAAAGGCACTAAATAATTTCATCTCTCCCTGCACACTTGAGGAGACACTCCCAGTTTGAGGTCATACCCAGAAATGCACCAAAGAACTCGGACTCAGACCCTCTCAGGGGATTCTCAGACCACTGCTGAGCCACAGGCTCTGAATGGCCTCTCCCCTCACCTATGGCAGCAAGACCCTCTTGCAGGCAGCTCTAGGGGACTTCATGCCCCTCTAAGGGTCACATTCCCAGATTTGAACATCTCTGATATAGGAGCAGGCAAGCCCAGTCTCCCCATGCAAGCCTTACCCAGGAGCACTATGCCTCATCTCCAAATGAGGGAGAGCATGATCACTCCAAAAGGCCTGATCAGCTACTGCTTTAAAAGAAAAAACAACAATAAATTCTTCAAAGCACCAGAGCCCAGACCCCCCAGCAAAGCCTACCTGAAGGTATTATTTAGCCCCTTCTAACTACCCATGTTTGTTCAGGTAAATCAGGGTGAAATTCTTGTGTTTGAGGTGACTTGCAGGGGAACGTGCATTTTCCTCTCAGCTACTGCTCAAAGAAAAGTGAGTGGGAGCCTAGTTCTGTCTGCTGGAGTACATGGCTAATGGCTGAAGGCTCCTGAAAGACTTTTAAATACCTGGGTCTCTGTGCCCCAGCTATTTAGAAGCCACAGCCTCAGCTATTTAAAAGAAATAAACCAGGATGCCTGTTGGCTGAGTCCCTCTTTCACCAGGCTCTTGCCTTCCAGGGTTTCCCTCTTCTCCAGCAATATAAAATTAATGGGGGAAAACGGAGGAAATTCAGGGTATTGGTTCACAGAAGCTGTTTGGAGCACTTTAACAGCTCTGTGCTCCTTTATGGGAATGCTCAGGGCACACTGGTGTACAACCCAGCCAACGCTCAACCCCCACTTACATCTCACAGCAAACATAATCTAAGGCAAGACACATCGTCCTTGCCACAGGCTTAGGATGGCTGTAGCTCTACATACCGACTGCTGGTGCCAAGCAGCCTGTACCCCTTGTTGGCCTGAATTGCTACTGCTCTCTTTTGTACTTCTACAGTCCTCAGATTAGCCATATGCTGCTTTCTGCTTTGGACATCCCTCCACTAAATGGCTGGTTCAAGCTGTATTAATCACACCCAGTTTAGGGTTACTATATGCTCATTATTTAAAACTATTTACTGAATAAGTTTATAAATAAGGTTCTTTGAATTTTCCTTTCTGCATGCCATGAAGATTCATTACTTGGCTTGGAATTCTGGGGCTATTTCTGTGCTTTTGTCAACATCAGTTCTTGTTACTGTCAAAACCAGCTCTATGGCATTTAAATGCTTATTTTTCCTCCTAAATGGATCTAGATAGAAAACAAAACGTTTCGGCTACTCAGACATTAGAGAGAAGCCAGCCATTCACCCTGGGCTGTGTTGCTAGCGGCTGAGTTATTTCCAAGTTTCCATGAGGTTGAAGTGTTCCTTTGAGGAAAAAATGGAAAAGACAGCTCCTAGTTATCTGAGCCAGGTGATAAACACAGGAGCCTCCAAGTCATGTGCTCAGGGCTGGTCCCACACCACAGCCAAGGGGGAGGGCAAAGACACAGCCCTCAGGTTGGGCACTGTGTGCCAAAACTGATCCCCTGCTTCTTGCCAAGGGAAACAGCATGCTGTCTGTTGTGTGCAAATAAACACAACTGCAGCCAATGCACTGGGGCTTTGCCAGCCTGTGCTACCGGTTATAGCACTGTCCAGGTCCCCAGCAAGCAGCCATCACAACCAGGGCCAGAAGAAGAAACCAAACAGGTGATGGACAAGTAGAGATGACAGGGTTTTGGCTGCTGTAGGACATGTGCCTGCCTCTTTGACTGCAGCTCTTTGGCATCCAGCACACATTTTGCTCTTTCATTAAAGGTGGAGAGAGCAGGACTGGTTGCCTTGAAAGCTTTACACACACGCATATTGCAGATGGTGAGGGGCATAAGAACAAATAGGGGAGAATAGAGAGGAGACAACAAAAAAAGCACAGTTGATTCCACACAAAGTGCATCCCAATGAAAGTAGCAGACGTTCATTACAGGTTTTGATGGACTCACTGCTCAGGCCATGTGGTACCCAGCAGCAGCAGAGCCCAGCAGGCAGCACAGACCCTTGTCTCCACTGCTGACCCAGTGGCATTTTGCTTTCCACGCTGCTTTGCAGGTAGGGAATGCAAACCCTGCCTGACTGCAGTACAGGCGAGATGAGAGGGAAGGCAGCAGCTGCAGCTCCACCTTCTCTTCCTTGACATTTAACAATGAGCTTCCCCACTGCTGCACTAGCCACACATGGGGTCCCAGACCACTACAGTCTAAATGAATGATTCAGTTGTTGAAGGGAAGGTTGTTGAAAGTTGGGAGAAATGTATTCTTCACACCAGCTCCAAGTTCAGAAACTCAAAGATCTCAAGAAAAGGCTATTGCCATTCCAGTTTCATGTCTGATCCTGGCCCAGCAGTTCTTTCTTCCCTGGTGCACATGGTGCTCAGCACAAAGCATTGGTTTACGCTTATCACTGATGACATTTGCTTTACAAGCTTTTATAGGGGGGCTTACTCAGGTGCTACACCCAGTTATTTTCCAGTAGCTTCTGGAAAGGCTGCTGGAGCAGGAGCTCAACCATGTGCTGTAATTTCAGAAGCCACCTGAGGAACCCAAGAGCTTCTCTGAAAGAAAGGTCTGAGGCAGAGCAGAAGCCTTACCTGCACCCCAGCTTGGCAGGGCTTTCATCTCCCCTTTGAATTCTGCCTTCTCCCCCCTGCCCCTCTGTGCACCACAGGGAGCTTTAGTTAATTAAAACCTTCCAACAGGCAGGACCTGCAGCCTCACTCAGTGCAAAATGTCACACACAACTAATAATATTTACTAATGACTGAGGGATTCAGGTTAATCTAGCGATGCAGGCAACGATGCCTCAATGGCAGGAGGAAGAAATGGCAACCCCGTTACTGAGATGGGAATTAGGCAGAACAACCTCACGTGCACAGCCAAGGCTGAAATGCTGCTTTAGTCCCTGTACTAATTTATGTTTATTATAATGCCACATGTAATAACCAGGTGATTTTATAAAGACTTTATATGCCAAGTTTGAAAAAGCCACACTGCCAGCAGCACTAAGATCATGCACCAGTCTGAATTTAGGAAGATCCAAGGAGACCACATGCATGAACGATGTATGTTGACTCCTAAAATACAACTTCCTTCCCTATGCAAGTTGAGGGTGCAGAGCTCATGGTTTGGGGAGCACAGCTCCCCCATACCACTAACAAAGCATCGAGACCAACCCAATCACTGGGATCTTGGGGTTCTGTTCCAGGCCCTGCAATCAAGGCAAGAGCTAAAGCAAGGATGATGCTTCAAATGCCCCTTCTGTATGTCACATTGACCTTACATTGATCTTACATCTTGCCTTAAGCCAAAACATAGACTTTGGCTTTATCTCCAGAGCCTTTTCCAAATGGACTTACAGAACCTGCCTTTTAAAGCACTTCTGCTTGCACTAAACATCCCCTCTTGCTCCAAGACCAGCACTGCAGCCATTGGGGAATCCCTGGGGTGGGATTGCTCTGGGTGAAAGCAGGCCACTAAAAGGGTTTTTCTGAGGAATCACTCAGCCCACCAAAATGCACCCAGTTGCTACAAACAGAGAACAGGCACAGGGTGAGTTCAGGTTATTCCTGGTCACAATCCTAAAGGCAACCCACAGGAATAGGAATCATTGTAAAATTAAATTACCTGAACTAACCTCACCATCAAATAAAACTCCTGCAGCATGAGATCATAGTCCTCAGATGCCCCAGTTTCCCCAGAGCTCTGAGATGGTTCTCCAGAGCAGTATGAGGAATTACTACCATAAGAAAAAACCCCAACAGATAACTAGTAACAAAAAAGCTCCAAACCATAGGAGACACCTTCCAAGACAGACAGAGGCTGATCCAAAAGAGGGCCTGGGAGCTGTGCAGTTTCTCCCAAGCTCTCAGCAGCAGCACATCTCTTGCTTTGGGCTGCCCATGGCATTCTGCGAACACTAGCTCCCAGCTCCAGGCATGGCCTTTCATCCTCAGGACATCTGCCACTGTTTAGTGGAAACCTTACTAACCAAAGAATATTGCACTCTTATTATTCTGAGATGCAGGGATGCAGACAAACAGCCAGTAAAGCCCTTCTGATGGATGCTAAGTAAATACAGAGGGTGATTTTGTTTTGGTGGTTTTGCTTGTTTGGGTATTAAAGAGAGCATGACCCATCTATGTTGTTTGTGGACAATTGAGAAAATGAGCATTAAACACCAAATCCCATGCATCCTCACTTAAAATTACAGG